TCATCTGGGATTATTTATCAGGATATTTCTTGAAAACACACATTGACTTAATGGACATCTAAAAGATGACAAGACTGAGGGAAGTTGTCAGAAAACACAGTTAAGACTGAACAAAAAAGATATGTGTCACCTAAGTTAATCATTGAACTTTGAGTTTTGTATTCCTTGGATGGAACCGTCTTTTAGAGTACCTGCAGTAGATTAAAGTGCACTTATCCATAAGAAGACAGTGTAACCATGTTACACAAGCACACAAACTTTTAAGACGATCATTAAGACACTGAGGGTGCTGTTTTGGGTTCTCTACAGCACAGAGAAATGGGTGGGTGTTACTCTGTTTAGAACAACGTCTGTGTCTTTGTTCTTTTTTTTCCCCCGCACTCTTTCTTTGTTTCACAGATTCTCTCTCTTGTGGATTTGTAATTCTGTCTTTTATCTGTAATTCCAGTCTCTCTCTTTGTCTCTCCCTCTCTGAGACACACACACACACACACACACACACACACACACACACACACACACACAATGAATCCATGAGGTGAAGCCCTCACAGCAGAATCCTTCTCTGTCACTGAGCTGTATTTATAACCCCATCTATCAGCCAGCACAGGGAATACGTGACACTATTCTCTGGGCCAAGACCACCAAACTGCCCCCCCAGCTGTACATTACGATAGCAAGGGCGTACATGTGTACGTGTGTGCATGCATGCGCACATACAGTACATCATGTGTGCACATGTATGACTTTGGTAAATCACAAGCTCCACCGTGGCTCGTGGTTCCTGTCCAACTGTTACACTGCCACTGGAGGTCAGGAATAGAAAAAAGAGAGAGAGAGAGAAAAAACAACCAGGGAAAGAGAGAGAGAGAGAGATGGAGGCCAGGAGGGAGGCTGATATAAAATAGAGAATAGGATTACAGTGAAAGAGGTAGAAAAGAAAAACAGGAGGGGTGCTCGCGCTTGCTGTCTCTCCCTGATGAGAGCCGAGATCTATATCCTCTTCAGTCCAAGGTCATGGTTGTTACATGAGAGCACGGCAATCTCCAAGCCTCACACACATACGCATGCTGACAACCACTTAATGAGGTATGGTTCTGCCGATAACTACAAGCAACCATTATAGATTAAAGCAATTAAACCAGAGGCCACCTTTGACCCAACATTATACCACAGTCAGGCTCTTGTGTGAATCATAAGAAAGAAGGGCACGCTTTACATATGCTTGCCTCTGCACTAACTGCTCACCCTCATGTTATCCTTACAGAGCAATAAGGTAGTAGTCACCCCCCCTCCCCCAAGCACCCGCGGGCCAATCCAACGAAAAGTGTACTGAAGGCCAATGACAGATTACAGTAAACCTCCAGACTTAAACATAAACCACATTATCCCAAAGTGTTGTTCTCTTTCTATAAAGATATAATGTATTTATTGGTGAAAATGTAAATATTTCAAACATGTTTTATGTCAACATAAAACAAGTATTATACATTAGACTATATATTAATGGATAAAGCCTGGGTGATGTTAGCCATCCGTTATGGCAGGGGGCTACAGAGGCTCATCGGCAGCAGCTGCCATGTTGGAAATGCTGTCTCAAACTCACTTTCAGTCAACCTAACGACAGGCTGAGAGCCGGAGCTGAGGCAGATATGGATAACACGTATCATTTTCAAAATCAATATGAAGCCATTTAAAAAAAAATAATCACCCCCCGTACAGTATGTGCCAGTGATGACAATAACTAATCAGACCTATTTTGTTTTTTGTACCAGGCTGTAAATATGTTAAGTTATGCTGTAAAAACTGCTTTTTTGCCTGTTGTGTGTTTGTGCCTTCCGGTGTTCCTGGAGCCGGCCTCATGCAGACGCTCGACAAACTGCAGGTTTTTGCTCTTGCTCTTCAAGACCAAGTGTTTTATTTCTGTGTCTAAGTTTGGATCTTTGCTCTTTGTTTTAGGCCAAACAATCAAGAAAAAGTATTAAAATAACAAGTCTTTATGACGCAAGCTACTGTGAGGAACTTTCATTTTACGTTGATCTTCAGGACTCTTGTTGGTAAAACTGTACATCCGATCTTTGCTGATCTTGTCCTGTCTAAAGTGAAAGTACTCTTTGAGACGAAACGTCTCATTCTGCTTTATTTGAAAGACCCGAGGTGCTGCTCATTATGAATCTTAGCCGTGGTAAATGTAAACAAAGTCTTTTAAGGCATTGTGTAGTTAATCTCCTCGCCTGACACTGAACATGTGGCTAACGAGCATTAAAAATTTACCTTATTCTTGGTGATCTTGTTTGCTTTTGTAGGTCATAAAGAAGCATCAGTATTCATATCAGTGTGTTTCATAACCTGCAAAAAACTCCTCACAGGAGATTTAATGTCCACATAGAAATAAAAACTCAGCCCGCTCTTGATCATTATTTGAAATTATAAATCCATTAGCACACCGTTCACAGGCAGAATTTGGACTTAAATCATTAATTTACCTATAAAAGTGCACTCGAATAAACATACACTGGCAGAGGAAGAAAAGACTGTTTTCAGCTCTACTACTCCAGTGTGTGTCTAGGATTGAGGAGGTATATTTAGAGTCGGTGCGAAGACCCGAAAATAGAAAATACATGTAGTGATGCTCCTCTCCCAAACTTGGGTCTTCATGAGGAGGATGCAAATAAAAAGGTGGCGTAAAGGTGCAAAAAACAAGATCATGAAGAGGAGACCCTTGCTGGGTTTCTGTGTTAGAAGAGGGGATGAGGACAGCAGGACAAAAAGGGACCGTGGGAGCCCTGCGAGCACCCACCCTGCTGTTACATCAGCGTGCCCTCAGGGTGCAGACAGACGGGGTGTTGGGCTCCCTCTGCTGGTGCACAAAAACTCCTCCACTACTCTCCTTCCTCTTTAACAAAGACCTTCAGAGGAGGCTCTTCATCACAACAGCTTCTGAATGAACTCATTTCAATGTAATTTCATGTTCCCCGGTTTGCAGAGAGCAGCAGTTTCAAGCATTTCTATCAATTCTCCCAAAAGGTCCACTCTCGCACCTGTATTTATAGTGAGTGACTATTTGAGCGCACATCAATATCTCCGGGAGTAAACTGAGTGTGTTGACAGCTTAACAATGTTTCTCTGCAAATACTATCAGCTCCATCAAAGGGCCTGTGTTCTTAATTGAGCCTTGAGAGCTGTATCTCTCCTTTTTATGACAGCCTCGCTTCTTGCTACCAGACAGACTCAGAGGAAGGATTTCCTGGAATAACACGACTACAGAGATGCGTGGGTGGAGAATATGCACACTCATAGACACACACAAGGTACGCACACACACACACACACATACGCATACATAGACACACACACACTGGTACAAAATAGAGCAATCCCTCTGCTAAGCAGGCAGTCACAGCAGGAAAACTGGCAGGCACGAAAGGTAAAAGGCCTTACATAGAGTGCGTGGCGGGCAAAAATGGCTTCATTGGATTACTGTCCCATTGGGGCATGCACACACACATACACACACATACACACACACACATACACAAGCTGAGCAATGGACTTAAGGGTGCCAATTAGGCCAATAGTCTGACACAGCAGGATAAAGAAATAACCCGAGGATATAAGAACAAATAAGTCACACGCATACACACCTGCCTGGAAGATAAAAGGTGTGTAGACGTGATGAAAAGCCCTCTAACCTAAAATGTCTTCGCTGAATATTGTAAACACACAAACAGACATAGAAGCCCACCGTCTGCCCGTTTATCTAAATCAACAGTTTCTTCAGCTTCCAGTCAGTTTCATCATTCCTGCTCATTTTAATAAATATTTCAGCAGGGTGTTAGTGTGTTGTCTCCCGCTGTTAAAGCTCTCCTCCACTCTCGCTCTGCCCTATCTATCCTCAGGAGCCTCCTTTGTTCTGTGTGAACTCCTCGGGGCTGTGACATACATTCAGCACACAGAAGATATCCCGTGGAAACCTTGTGTGGTCTGTCAATTGTGTGTGTCTAATGAGGACTGTTTGACTTTTAAATGTATCATGTTAATGCTGAAGATGTTGTGTGTGTGTGTGTGTGTGTGTGTGTGTGTGTGTGTGAGGAAGAGAAAGTGAGTGGAAAGAAACAGAAAATGTCAATGACAGTGAAAAGAAAGGGATGGAGAGCTGCAGATCAGGCCTGAGTGGATCTTTGGGGAACACTGAATGAAACAAGTCACAGATCTAGTCACAGCTGTATCAACTCCAATCAGACAGTCTGGCAGGCAACCATGACCATACAGACTCTTCCTTTTTACTTACAAATACCCAACAAGTTGCTAAACAGAAACCAATAAAAGTGAATGTGACTTTTGCATGCTGCTCTCTTTAGTGCAACTTCCCGTTAAATTAAACAAACCAGCCCTCCAGTAGTGAGTGAGTGAATGCATTGGCTCATTTCAGGCCAGGCATCAATGTTAATACAATAAGTGAGTGAGGCTCAGCAGCAGCGTGTGACAAATTTCATGTAATTGCTGCTCCTCATTTTCAGACTGAGGCAGTCCTCAACATTTATCAGTGTGTTTAAATACAGATATATATAATTAAGAAAGATGTTGGCAGAGATGTCAATGTTGTGCGTGCGTAATTATTATTAGTTCGGCTAGTTTAAAGCAAGAAAAATAGTTGAGCCAATTAATAAAACGTCAGAAAGTCAAAATGTCCACATCAGTCTCCTCCATCTCCAGCATGGTAGAGCTGCCTTATGTGTATATGTCATACAAATTTAATGGAAGTGTCCTCGGAATAGAAAAAAAAAAAAACGTCACCAACAATGTTTTCCCTCCCTTTTCTCTCCGCTTTTCTCGATGCATGATTCATAACCGAGCCGAGCACTTAACGGGAGTCTCCGCCGCCTCGCTGCGCTCCTACCCGGGCGAGAGGAACCGCGGGATTGCCCTGGCTCCCCATACATCCGCCAAACACGCAACATAGCAGGACAACAGACGCACGACCCCGTCAGGGCACCCACCTTCATTCTCCGGGTAATTCCGTAAAGCTCGACACGGCGACAAGGTCTGAAAAAGTAGAAGCAGGCAGGACAGGAGGGAAAAGGATGGATAGATCCACAGGACGCGTGGTGGTGCCATTTTTCAGGCTGCGCTGCGCCCTCGCTGCATCCCTGTCGGTGGTGTCGAGTCGGTGAGCGCAGCCCTGCGATTGAGGAGAGAGAGAGCAGAGGAGAGGAGAAGGGTGAGAGAGCGAGCGAGCGAGAGAGAGAGGAGGAGACGCTGGGAAGGAGGGTCCACAGTCAGCCAAATCCTGTCAATCAGCTGCAGGACTCCCGGGGTGGTAAAGTGGCCTCTGAAGAGACTCCTCTTCTCCTCACACGCGGTTTCACTGTAAAAGTAATATGTATAGGACATCGTCTCATATGGAGTTTAAAAGTATATATTTTTTCTTTTTAATAGTGGCAATTTTTTTCTTGCATAAAAAACCTGAATAACACTTCTAAAGCTTCAAGGACAAAATCAGCATTTTGTATTGCTTTTCTAAAAGCCCTTCAAAAGTGAGCTTCAAGAGTGAAGATAAGGAGTATATGTCGGAACATTTCTTTGGATTTGCTGATTTTAGGTACATTTTGGTAGTATTCACTTTTTTTATTCTATATAGCCTATTTGATGCCAAAAGTTTGGAGATGATAAATGTTGATACAATATTGATAGAATATATTGATATGAAAGTTCATATTCAACTAATTTCACAACAAACAGGGACATCTTTGAATACATTCAACAGCAAGGAGCATATTGAGACTGGTTTACACTTCTGATTCAAATCATATGCTGTACAGTAGTAGTCTATGCATCAGTGGCCTAAGCCACTGTGAGCAGGTTGGTGTGTCTGCTTAGCTCTGCAATACTCCAGATATACAGCCGCTAGCTGGCAGTGCGATTACGATGCTAGTTATATCGTCAGTTTCCAGTTCCGCCACATTTTCTGCTTGTTTGTGTACAGGAAACCGTGGCCACTGAAATCGAGCGTGTCATGTTGCCGTTTGAGCTGATAAATATTGAGCAGCAGTGGATTAAACTGGCTTGTAGTGTTTTTCCTTCGGCAAAAACAACGGTGATACTGGAAATGTTTTAAATGCAGGATATACGATGCTATCCAGTTGACCAATTACAGGGCTAGCAGTCTGCGTTGTTTCTACGTGTAGTTACATTTTTGAGAAAGTGCACGTCAGGCTACGTACGTAGGCCGATACAGACTTGAAATGTATTACCATAGTTGGATAAAATACAATTAATGAAAATGTTCATGCAATAAACCGAGGGATTCACCCACTCTCTTGGTTAGAACAAACCACAACAAACCTATCCATCTCATTACTGATCCAGAGTTGTTGGGATCTACAGAACAGCCTCGTAACCCTGAGATAAACGGATCCTTCTCACTGCAGAAAATAAACTGTCAATTATTTTGATAGGCAACATGGGCACATGGCAATTACTGGATTAGTGTCAGCTCAGGCTCGCTTCCTTCTGGTTGTTGATTTGGTTCCTGCAGATTCTTTTAACAGCAACAGCTGACATGCACAACAGATCCCACTCAAACACTTTATGGAGATTTATTCAGCCTTTACATGTATTTGACTGCAGTTTGGACATCAGGAATAATGTGAGTATGTGTGTGAATCTCACTGTTGTGTGGCTGGAGCAGGCTGTGTTTAAATATGAATAAATAACGTGTGCAGACTGTCATGTGAAATGTGCGAGGAGGAGCTGAGCGTGTGCAAGGTCAACCTTTCAATCTTCTTCCTCTTCAATACAGCCTCCTGGCAGAGCTCATGTGGTGAAACCTCTGTCCCCTGCAGAGAGAAAATACCTTTAAGAGGGAAGTGTTATCTCTCGCTTAACCATTGGAGTGTGTTTATGTTCGTACAAAGAGTAGTGTGCTTCTCGTCCCTCTAGTGCCTCTTCATCGGATTTAACCCATGTGATCATCCGCTGGTTGGGGTGACACAAATATGATATCCCATAGAAAACAGCAACTGTTAGTGGGGAAATATGATAACATTTTTAAAGGTTAAATAATAATTATAAAAAATTTCTGACAGGTTATTGGGAGGTGAGTAAAATCAAACCATTATATTTTAAAATCAGCTGTAAATAGAGGGTACCGTTTATTTTTTTATTTTTTGAGATTCAGATCCAGGGAAGGTGAAATCATTAATTCAAAATATTATCATCTCTCTTACACGAGAAGAATATCACTTTCATTTATGTGCTGCAAAAAGTTAATTAGCTAATCGGATGCTAGTATTAATACTAGCTTCCGATTAGCTGAGCTTGGCTTAAATTCTAGAAACAGGGAGAAATAACTCACCTAGCCATGTCTGAAAAAAACAAACTCAGCCTTCCAACACTTCACCCATTAACACGCCACATCTCTTTTCAGCAATTCATAGAAAACCAGAGAGTAGAAATAGCTTTGTTCCACTGTTGGCTATATGTCGACTATTTCTGTGTGCAGTTAATTTCCCGAATCCCTGCTTGGCGCTTGGCATATAATGTGTGAGGTAAAAAATATTAATAAATGAAGTCAAGGGGGAGATGTCAGCCAGATTTGATTGCCATTAAACATGCCAAGCTACCTTTTCCCACTGTTTTGCTGTCTTTGTGCTAAGCCAGCTACTAACACGGCCATCTAACTCTATGCCGACGACTATATGAACAATTTCCCAAAATAGTGAACTATACTTTCACTTTCAATATTTAGTATTCAGGTCAGTGTGCGGTTTTAAATATATATCAGGCAAAATCAGAATTAATTATCATTAATAATTTCCTCTTGCTGTCAATGCTCTTCACAGCTGATAGAATGGGTTAAAGAGATGCCATAGGTCCCTGATACACTAGGATTTTTTTCCCCTGCAGCTTACCGCTTTGTGATGTAACAACACTGTGATTTATGTCAGGATCATGACCACAATTATATTTACCAAGAGCAACGTTCTTCTATCACGCTTCTGTCCCAAATGAGGCTCCTGAAAGAGCTATAAAGCTGTCAAATATTCCCTGATTTATGCGGAAATTCTTTTTTACACGCTCTCGGCATTGTGTGTAGTTGCACACGTGTGTCGGCTTTTGTGTTTTTTTTCTCGCGTGTGTGTGTGAAGCAGCCACCTCCACAGATTTGTTAAGGCTCCAATTATAATGATGATTTGTTCCTTGCAATGGCTTTACTTGGATGACCTAATTTCCTCATTGAGTGTAGCAGGGAAGGAAAAAAAATACTAGTTCCTTTTTTCTTCCCCTCTCTCTCTCTCCTTCCTTCCTTTTTTTTCTTCTTCTGCTTCTTCTTCTTCTTCTTCTTCTTCTTCTTCTTCTTCTTCTTCTGCTGCCATGACGCTGCATTCATCCATCCAATGACAAAACATTGCTGTCATGCATTCCAGCAGTGACAGCGTGACACGGCCCCTTAAACCCTTGTCACTCCCTCCACCACACACGCATGCATGCACCCAAACACCGACACGCACACACACACACACACACACACACACACACACACACACACACACACACACACACACATACACACACACATCCGGCATGCCTTGTGGAAGAATGGTCTCGCCAGCGCTTGGCACTGCTTTTACATAATGACATTTTGAGGCTGCACACAAACACACACAGTGACAGATCCGAGTGACAGTAGCCTACAACAAATATTTAAATTGTGTCTTTTGCTTTCTTTCCTCACATATTTCTGTCTTTTTTCCCTTGTGCTGTTTCCACTAGGAAGTGCTGATCTCTTCCTTGCTCTTTCACTTTAATTTCAAAAAGAATTCCTCTTTCATTCATTCTCCCTACTCTTTCGACCTCTAGACTGTCACCCCTTCACCCTGCTCGGCCTGGATGGGTCAGCTATTCTCTGGTCCAATCCCAATCTCCACCCTAAAGCCTGAGCACTGAAACCTCTCTGGACAATACTGATGTTTGTCTTATAGTGACTGACTTTGTCAATCAATGAGGGCTCAAAATGCTCAAAGAAATAAGAAACACATTCACAAAATCAAACGTTATTTGGTAACAAGCGGTGCCATTCAATAAAAGAAGAAAAAACGCAACATGTCAGTATGTTATTGTATTTGTGACATATAGATTTGATAATTAACAAAAGTCAGGAAGCCATGTGGGCTATGATATCATCTCAAACTTCTTCGTTGTTTTCTTTTTTCTCAATGTCAATGTCTGCTTTGAATACATTTTTCAGAGGCTGGACAAGCATGTTCCCCATCACCAATTTTGCAATAAACTCAGGACAAGTTCCACTGGATAGTCTACAGATTCAGGACTCACACAAACTGGACAAACTGGCAATGGATGTCTGCATCATGCACTTGATGATTTGACAAGCCTTGAGCCCTGTCTATAGCCCTTTTCACAAATGTACCCCTGATATTTTCTGATTTCAGGACATTCTGGTCCTGACACACACACACACACACACACACACACACACACACACACACACACACACACACACATATATATATATATATATATATATATATATATATATATATTTTTTTTACTTTCATGCATTACCCAAGCCCTTTCGCATATGGGCCTGGGTAGTGCATGTAGAAGGAGTAGGTAGAGTCTTCCATAAAAGGCACTGTTCCCATGTTAATACCACTACTAAATGTTTTAGGTCTTTTTAGGCAATAGGAACCCAATAGTAGCAAACCATATACAGACATCTAGTGTGAGCATCAAAGTGTATAAAGCAGAAAAACTCAAGCTCAACGTGAACATCATTACCTCTCACTCTCTCACAACATTTTACCAGGGGCCTTGGAGGGGAAAGTTCGTATGAAGTCGGGGTAAACAGATTCTGATGTTTACATTCACACAGCCACTCAACCCAATATTTGGAAAGTTTCCGGAGCACAGAGTATGTATTAAAGAAGCTTCTGAGTGTGGAGATTGGGATTGGTTCCCTTTGATAACCACCGTCCTTCTCTCCCTTCCTGCCCATATTTGACTCAGAGCCGCTGTCTGGGAAAATAAAAGACTGTAACCAAGCAGAGATGAAACTCAGATGAGTGGTAGGAGTGTGTACCAATTGTGTGTGTGTTGCATGCTTGTGCCATTGATGGCGGGGGCTTGTTTGACAAGGGGCAGAGGTGAT